CAAAGATCCTCCTGCCTCAGCCTCCCGAGTGCTGGGATTGCAGGCGAGTGCCACCATGCCCGGCTGATTTTTTAATGTAGGGTCTCATTATGTGGCCTCTGTAGGATCTTCCTGCCTCAGCCGCTGCATGCGGGGACTACAGGTGTGCGCACTCACGTCGTTAGTGTACAATGCTTTCCGCCGCATCACTTTCTTTAAGAATGCAGACGGGTTTAATGAAACCTAATGCTAATAACTCTTCTTATTTCTGAAAATTATATTTTCTGAAGCACACTGGAAAACCAACTAGGTTTGGACATTTGTCAGGTCAAGACATGTGGCAAGGTTCAGAGGCTTTTTTGTTTTTTTTTTGGAACAGGGAATCGAACTCAGGACCTTGCGCTTGCCAGGCAGGTGCCTGTGCTGCTGAGCTATACTCCTGGCCCCTTTGCTTTGTTTTTTTGAGACAGGGTCTTGCCGCCTAGTTCAGGCTGGCCTTGGAGTCTGTGTAGGCGGGGCTGGCCTCCAAGTCACAGCACACCTGTAATCCCAGCACTTGGGGAACACTGTGCATCAAAATTTATCTATCAATCATAATGACAATGGGCGAGACAAGTTTTACACAACATAGTTAATGTTGTTAAGCATAAAAAGTGACTTTGAAGGCAAAACAATGCCAACAAAAGCCAGGTGCAGAAATGATCATCTATAATCCCAGCGCTTGGGAGGCTGAGGCAGGAGGCTCACTGCAGGTTTGAGGCCAGCCTGGGCGACAGTGAGTTCAAGGCCAGCCTGAACTGCACAGTGGGACCCTGTCTCAGTAAAACAAAACCCAAACAAAGAAACAAATACAAAGAATGCTGATACTTAAAAATTTTCACAATGTTATGTTCTTCTTTATTCCACCCAAAAAGCAAGTATTTTGAATTTATGGCTGAAGAATTTGCTATACTGAATTATGACAGACTATTTTTCAGTGCCCAGATGTGACCTGTGCTGAGGTTTTCCTGCCTCAGCCTCTGAACGCCTGGGACCACAGTTAGCACCCTGTGCAGACACTAGCTGGTTTTCTAACAGTTGGGATTACAATTATGCAATTCTTTTTTTTTTTTTTGAGACAGGGTCTCGCTATGTAGTCCAAGCTGGCCTTGAACTCATGGCAATCCTCCTGCCTCAGCCTCCCGAGGGCTGGGATCACGGGTGCTGCCACCATGCCTGGCTGGTATCTTTATTTTGAAGGGAAAAAGTTCTGAAATTATTCTGAAATTGTGCCCCGTCCATACCTGACTTTTTAATGATGAAGCGATGTAGTCTCTTTCATAACTGGAGATTGTCTTGTGCATTTCTGGTGTGTCACTAACTTTCCAGGTCCACAAAATAAACCAAAATATTCCGAGTATACCTTAAGATGGAAAAAGAAAAGTTAGATAAAAGTTAGAATTATCAACAGTCATTTTTACAGGATTTGACAAAATTATCTAACTATACATTCAGTGTAAATTAAATCCAACTTTCACTTCTTTAATGGAATTATTGTATAATTATGTTACTTTCTCTGTATTTTGAAGAAAATACTCACATGGGTCTGTCCATAGGCCAATATGCAAATCTCTCTTTTTTTTTTTGGTCTTTTTGAGACAGGGTCTCACTATGCAGCTCAGGCTGGCCTTGAGCTCACTTTGTAGCCCC